AGTCCAGTACCTTTCTCACTGTCGATTAATGAGTTATGTGTTGGCATAATGTAATCTGGTTTAACATGACATTCAACTTTTATCCGATCTAATAGAATTTTTCATGTTTGAATCCTCTGTCATAGATTTTGTGCATGCCCAAGAGATGCAAATATGCTCCATAAATTATGTCACCTTAGATAACTGGACTACCAGTGTGGCTTTCCTGATTAGGAACAAAACATTCGCAACTATTTTACCAGAATCAAGGCATTTCTAGATATATTCACATCAGTTTTGATTTTTTTGGATGATTCATATGCTGAATAGTGTTTATCAGTAGGTAAACAATGGAAGTAAGACGCAGATGGATGAATAATTGAGCTGCGATGTTTGGGCGTGGCCTGATCGGTTGTAGTTGTTCCCACTTATAGTACAGTCACTGCTGTAGGCAGCTGATGTAGGATGTATTGATCGTGGCTTCAAAACACTTACAGGAATGTCAGCCGCTAATGATTAATTCTGTCCATAAAGAGTTGTGGTATGCAACATTACCTCCCAGTGGAGTTATCTCCCTTATAGGTGCTTTGTCTTGATGCTAATTTATTGAACATTCATACCAAGCACCTGTCTCCAAATGTAGTCTATTTCATCAGGTTTTTTTGCAAGTGACTGGTTCGCACCAAGAATTCCAAACTGAAAAAACACTAGTGGATAAGAAGGAAATTTCATTGTGGTTTATATAGGTCACCTATAACTTCAGGTCTTCCAGCCTTGTTCGATAGTTTTCTTTAACACGTTGACTGCCTTTGACGAGTATACTCGTAGTATCAATTCTGGACGAATTTGCCTCTACGAGTTATCTCGTAGTGGCAAGATGGTATTTTGAAACAAGTTTCACGTGTTGGCAAAATAGTCACAAGAAACAAACGTCTCCTGGCGTTCTTTGTTACCGTCAGGAGACGATTGCTACTTGTGCCTGTTTTGCCAACATGTGAAGCTTGTTTCAAAATACCATTGATGTAGCTACTAGATAACTCGTAGAGATTTATTTATAGACATTTATACTACGAGTAAACTCAGGTGGCAGTCAACATGTTAACTCACATTGAAGTAAAGTCTTCGCATTGAACCCTCCAAGGTTGCTGCGTATTGTAGAGTTTGTTTTCTTTGTTGTTTAATTCCACACTCAGCAATATTCCAGCAATGTGATGGTGGTCTGGCAAAGATTGAGTCAGGACTGGACGATCCAGTGATTGATATGATGAGCTATGATGACATGCATCAACCAAGTCAGCGAGCCTGACCACCCGATCCTGTTAATCTCTTCTTATGACAAGCATGGGTTGCTGAAGAACAATTGTACAAACTGACTGACTGAGTTTGGTTTTACACCGCTTTTAGCAATATTCCAGCAACATCACGGCAGGGAACACCAGAAATGGGCTTCACACATTGTACCCATGTGGGGATTCGAACCCGGGTCTTCGGCGTGACGAGCCAACGCTTTAACCACTAGGCTACCCCACCACCCAGAACAATTGTAACCCTGATGATAATGTATTATACAGAGTATGCATATCTGATAACTGTTGCAATACTGTTTTAATTTAGATACAAAACTTGAAATGCCCACAAAGTTGGCCACCCCTAACTGATAGTGCAGGACAGTAGACCTGTATCCATCTGGGATATAAAGCTTGAGTCTGGTTTTGAGCTTACTAGCAACATGTAACTTGACCAAGTTGGTTCAGCTGAAACTAGTAATGAGTACCCTGTTCTGTTGTTTGTGAGCACTGTTGCTTGAAGGGTAGTTAAATAAATCTTGTGTCACTACGGTCAATGTTAAAACATGGATTAGGAGCAGTATTTTCAAACATATACTTGTTTTAAGAACCAACTATCGTAGTGTGTGAATCTCCTAAACAAGTATGCTTCTATTACCATGAAGGGTTGGTACCGGTAGTGAGAATTCGGTAGAGGAACATAATCGCTTTTTCAATGCCATTAAGATCGGGGTTAGAATGGTTCTTCAGCAACTCATGCTGAATCTTAAGAGGGGACTAACATGATAATGTGGTCAGACATGCTAACTTGATGAATGTCACATCTCAGCTGTGTAGATCAATGCTGATCATGTCAATCACTGGATTGTCTGGTCCATTACTTACCGACCACAGTTACATATACATGTAGCTGGGCCCCCCCCCACCCCCCAAAAAAAACCCAAAAAAAACCAACAACCTTTTGTACCACATCAAGCTTACATGCTGTGATTGTGGGGGTAGGACTGAAATACTTCTCAATAGAGATGTTAAATCAGCTCGCCTATCCCTTATACAAACACTATAATCTACTGAAAATTATGAAGAGAAAAATTTGAAATATGTTTTTTAGCCTGAAATGAAGGAACACGCCGTTCTCCTTGGAATGGAGGAATGAAAACCAATTATATTTAATGGCATGTGGTATATGTCTAGTGAAATATATATTTATTTCATACATTATTTCAAATATCAACTGGGCGGTGGGGTAGCCTAGTGGTTAAAGCGTTGGCTCATCACGCCGAAGACCCGGGTTCGAATCCCCACATGGGTACAATGTGTGAAGCCTATTTCTGGTGTCCCCTGCCGTGATGTTGCTGGAATATTGCTAAAAGCGGCGTAAAACCAAACTCAGTCAGTCAGTCAAATATCAACCTGGTTGGCCCAGACTCACGGGTGTATATGTCATTATATCGCTCTATGTGTATCACTGGCTCTGAAAACACTAATGCAGGTTACAGTGACATTGTTCTGATACAGATTAAATATTTATGTGGAGTTGACATTTGTAGACTCTATCCATACCTATTGATTATTGATCATCCCAGAGTGATGTCCTTGTCTTAGCAGAGCAAGTCATGTCTCAAGAGTGGTGTTGTGCAGGCAGATCAGTCATATATGCATTGTGCATGAATATGTGTGTGCATGCAGGTATGTGTGTGCTGCTGAGATCATGCAAGTATGCATTATACATACAGTTAAATGTTGAAATTAATGCATGTATTGCACATGCAAGTATGCTTAAGATTATGCATGTATGCATTGTATATGTAGGGGTATGCTAAATACATGTCATCGTGCATGCAGGTGTATGCTAAAGATCATGCAGGTGTATGCTAAAGATCATGCAAGTGTATGCTAAAGATCATGCAGGTGTATGCTAAAGATCATGCAGGTGTATGCTAAAGATCATGCAGGTGTATGCTAAAGTGCACTTGTATGCTAAAGTGCATGTATGCATTGTATATGCAGGTGTATGCTAAAGATCATGCAGGTGTATGCTAAGATCATGCAGGTGTATGCTAAAGATCATGCAGGTGTATGCTAAAGATCATGCAGGTGTATGCTAAAGATCATGCAGGTGTATGCTAAAGATCATGCAGGTGTATGCTAAAGATCATGCAGGTGTATGCTAAAGATCATGCAGGTGTATGCTAAAGATCATGCAGGTGTATGCTAAAGATCATGCAGGTGTATGCTAAAGATCATGCAGGTGTATGCTAAAGATCATGCAGGTGTATGCTAAAGATCATGCAGGTGTATGCTAAAGATCATGCAGGTGTATGCTAAAGATCATGCAGGTGTATGCTAAAGATCATGCAGGTGTATGCTAAAGATCATGCAGGTGTATGCTAAAGATCATGCAGGTGTATGCTAAAGATCATGCAGGTGTATGCTAAAGATCATGCAGGTGTATGCTAAAGATCATGCAGGTGTATGCTAAAGATCATGCAGGTGTATGCTAAAGATCATGCAGGTGTATGCTAAAGATCATGCAAGTGTATGCAGGTGTATGCTAAAGATCATGCAGGTGTATGCTAAAGATCATGCAGGTGTATGCTAAAGATCATGCAGGTGTATGCTAAAGATCATGCAGGTGTATGCTAAAGATCATGCAGGTGTATGCTAAAGATCATGCAGCTAAAGTGTATGCTAAAGATCATGCAGGTGTATGCTAAAGATCATGCAGGTGTATGCTAAAGATCATGCAGGTGTATGCTAAAGATCATGCAGGTGTATGCTAAAGATCATGCAGGTGTATGCTAAAGATCATGCAGGTGTATGCTAAAGATCATGCAGGTGTATGCTAAAGATCATGCAGGTGTATGCTAAAGATCATGCAGGTGTATGCTAAAAGATGCATCATGCAGGTGTATGCTAAAGATCATGCAGGTGTATGCTAAAGATCATGCAGGTGTATATGCATGCAGGTAAAAGATATCCTTAAGATCATGCATGTATAAGATCATGCATGTATGCATTATACATGCAGAGGTATGCTAAGGATCATGCATGTATTATAGCATTGTACCTGTGGGTGTATGATTATGAAGTATCATGCATATTGTCGTACATGCAGGTGTATACTAAAGAAAATACATGTTTAAGATTTCATGCATACATGATCATGCATACATGCATTGTACCTGCAGGTTTATGCTAAAAACCATGCATGTGTACAAGCAGGTGTGTACTAAAGATAGTGCTATATGTGTTGTACATACAGGTATATGTTGATAACAAGTGCATCACAGTTGATCAATTTAATTGTGTCACACATACACACTTTGTCAAGCGTAGCTTATATTCATTAGGAACTTTATTGCATGATCAGTATACCGAAAGTAAACCTATTACAAACTATTCAGAACAGGCTATATTTAACAAACTTATGAAAATAGTTTATTTACAACAAATTTACACGATTACTTAGCGAAAATTGAGAAAACACAAAATCTTGTAAAACTGTCTCCATCACTACTGGAGTGAGTTTAGTTTTACGCCGCTTTTAGCAATATTCCAGCTATATCACGGCGGGGGACACCAGAAATGGGCTTCACATATTGTACCCATGTGGGGAATCGAACCCGGGTCTTCGGTGTGACGAACGAACGCTTTAACCACTAGGCTACCCCACCCCTGTACAGTCAGTGTTGTCAGTGTCGTCAGTTGTACAACTATTTCTGTTTTGTTTAGATCCACTCCCGATGAGATGTCGAGCATTGCCGCAGTCCTTCTGGCAGCAGCCCAACGTTCCTCACCAGGTGTCGCCGGGAACAATGTTCCCCGTTCTCCCTCCACTCATGAATGGGGGAACGGAAGAAGACATTACAGGTGAGAACATAAAACTGGCTATTTTGATGAATCAATAAGTTCACGTTCAAAATATGTGTTTGTATATGATGTGAGCTTAGGACTACATCCACCTATGTGTTGCCCAGAGTAGTGTCCCTTCACTGTGACAGAATCAGCTCATCATGGGTTCAAATGCTAGGTTCATCCAGAATATGATCCCTGATCTGTCAGTACCACAATGGAGTGGAATGGAGAATGGAAGATTTGTGAATTGATCCTCTTGGAAAAAATGTTTAAAAATGGTACTTGTTGTTACTGTGCCTGCTGTTGTTCAGCTCAGAGTCAGCATGCTATATGAGGGTATCCATGTCAAACTGTGACAGCCGTGCCCTGTTGTTCAGCTCCAGCAGATCAGGGTCTAGATGGCAGATTTTCGAAGCTCTCTTAGCGCTAAGATAGTCATAAGTTAATTTTAGTTAGAGCTTCGAAAATCTAGGCCCTGGGTTAGACGGGTGAAAATAACCCATTGCCCGGCATCCCAGTGCAGTGTTTTTTTCTGTCGGGCAAGCACGCTGTACCAGTGTCCAGTTGACTTTCCAACGTTAATTATGTTGCTTATTTAAAACATCAAAAAGAAAACCAGCCGGTATACAATGTAGTGGAAAAATGATATTTTATTATGATAATTTTATTTTTACAGTTATTTCCACCCCTGGTTAGAATTGATCTTCAGTAACCCATGCTTGTCTTTAGAGGCGAATAACAGGATTCGGTGGTCAGGCTTGTTGAATTGGTTGACCATGTCATTGTACAGATCGATGCTCATCAGGTGTTGATCACTCGACTGTCTGGTCCAGACTTGATTATTTACAGACCGCCGCCATATAGCTACAAACCAAGTCAAACTGCGGCATGGTTTCCCAGTAGGTTATCGCTATGAAACTATGTCCTTTATCATAAAGCAGCGTTAAGCTTAACTCACAGTACAAAAGACAAAGTAATGTGCCCTTTTTCTAAAGCAAGTCTCTGATTGACATAGCCTATGAAATCACATCTGACAGAACGGCTTGATTATTCCTTCACATCATGGGGACAACTACATTAATTCAATAACGTTTATAAATCATTGAACACAAATATGGTCCTTTTTGTAATTGAAAACTGAATTTCGTAGAACTATGTCTGTCATGCTGGAAACAAAGCAAGATCTTTGTGCAGAAATAACATTCCATATGATGAATTAGGTCATTAATGCGCAAATATTAAAAACGAATACTATCATTAATTACTTAGGGAAATGAATTATGGGTGTGTCCACTTAATATTCAGTGGATTGGGAGGACATTTTTTTAGAAAGAATAATTTTTTCAGTCTCTTCTTCAAAACATGTAATATTTTTCCATGACAGCCAGACACATGTATTTTCAGCTATAACACTAGTTTCAAGGACATCAAGTGTCTAAGGCCTGTAGGGCTGCCTATTGATATAGATAATAAAGATTAAATATCGATTGTTTTTCGATAGATATCGGAGACCAAACTTTGAGCAAGAAATGCCAACACTTTCAGAAATAAATCAACGTATTTCACATCACTAATGAATTTTGAAATATTTTGGTTTGTATTACTAAAATCACGCCCTGAACATAATTTCGAAACAGCCCATGAATATACTTTGTGTGATGTGTGTGTAACTTAAAACTATATTTTATCACAGTAGTTAATATACGATATTATCAGTGACACAACTTTCATATCTATGATCGTTAATAGTTTTTCCCATTGACGATAAATCTGATTACCGATCATTTTAACCATCATTTTGTGTCCGTTTGTCTCACAGTCCCTGAACCATATTATTGTTCCTTCTGTCCATTATAACCTTCCTGCAATGCTGAAGCCCTAAATGAAGTAAGTCTAGATTTTCCCAGGTTTATGTCCCATGTCACTGGGACTCCTTTTCAATTTTTATGGATTTGTTTTGTTTGTATCAACATTATATATATTCAGAGACTCAATATAGAATTAAATATCACAGTAATAACTGTTTTTGAACATTTTGTGGAACAGATTTATAAAGTTCCGTATGAAATTCCCCCTCAAAACCAAGCAGCATAATATTCTTCCCTCTGGGATAATTCAACACCAAGCAGTGAGCTTTGTGGGGGGTGGGATATGGATTTCATAAAGGATTAAGTTTTTGGAAACTCTCCAGCAAGCTCTAGAATCACTTGGCTGCGAGGTGCTGTTTTGTCTGCAACAGGGCCGTCCTAGACATTCCTGAAGAGTGTGTACCAGTTATAATGATCATGCTACTCTGTGATGGTCGGTCAGTCTTCTGTGTCAAGAGATTAGAACAATGATAGCCTGGCACCATGTAAACAAAGCGATACTAGCACTACGTCATTCATAATCCTGGAATAAAGTATAATGTTAGGATAGCTTGTAACTTCGAGTCGAGAATGATTTGGCAAATCTTGATTGCCACAGCTGCTGAAAATACAACTGTTCCGGGGTCCTTTGGATTTTTTATTTATATATTTATAGATACATGTATATTTCTAGATAAGATTACTATATTTCTCAGACTAAATGTCAGGTTATGAATGTAACTGAATATCAAACATGACTGGGAGGTTGAATAGCCTAGTGGTTGAAGCGTTGGCCTGACAAGCCTTTTACAAGGCTGGATTTTTTCATAGAGACAATTTAGAACCTTTTTCTGAATGCACATTTACTTCAATGGGCAAATGGGCGGTGGGGTAGCCTAGTGGTTAAAGCGTTCGCTCGTCACAGTGAAGATCTGGGTTCGATTCCCCACATGTCAGGTGCTAATGCCCATTGTTAATATTTCATCAGCCTCGGCTCTAGGGCAGATATGGGATTCTTGGATGATATTTAGAGAACTTCTATATAATAAACAGTGTCGTGTCGTGACCATTTCTTTGAGATATGTATGACAAGTGTATTGAGATATCAAGATAGGTAGCATAGTGTGACGAGTGTATCGAGGTAAATATTGTATAAAATAGGTGTAATGATATAAATAATATGATCAGTGACTATCAAGCTAAATAAGATGATATTGTGTTGAGATAAATATTGTGAGATGGCCTGTGTATTGAGATAAATATTGTGGCATGGCCGGTGTATTGAGATAAATATTGTGGCATGGCCTGTGTATTGAGATAAATATTGTGGCATGGCCTGTGTATTGAGATAAATATTGTGGCATGGCCGGTGTATTGAGATAAATATTGTGGCATGGCCGATGTATTGAGATAAATATTGTGACATGGCCTGTGTATTGAGATAAATAGTGTGTCATGGCCCATGTATTGAGATAAGTATTGTGGCATGGCCCGTGTATTGACATAAATATTGTGGCATGGCCCGTGTATTGAGAAATATTGTGTGGCATGGCCCGTGTATTGAGATAAATATTGTGGCATGGCCCGTGTATTGAGATAAATATTGTGTCATGGCCCATGTATTGAGATAAATATTGTGGCATGGCCCATGTATTGAGATAAATATTGTGGCATGGCCCGTGTATTGAGATAAATATTGTGGCATGGCCCGTGTATTGAGATAAATATTGTGTCATGGCCCGTGCATTGCAATAAATATTGTGGCATGGCCCATGTATTGAGATAAATATTGTGACATGGCCTGTGTATTGCGATAAATATTGTGACATAAAGTATCATAAAGTGACAAGTATATTGAGATAAATACCATATTGTGACAAGTGTATCTAGATAAGTACTGTAACATGACAAGTGTATCGAGATAAGTACCGTAACGTGACAAGTGTATCGAGATAAGTACCGTAACGTGACAAGTGTATCGAGATAAGTACCGTAACGTAACAGGTGTATGGAGATAAGTACCGTAACGTAACAAGTACCGTAACGTAACAAGTGTATGGAGATAAGTACCGTAACAGGTGTATGGAGATAAGTACCGCAACGTAACAAGTGTATGGAGATAAGTACCGTAACGTAACAAGTGTATGGAGATAAGTACCGTAACGTAACAAGTGTATGGAGATAAGTACCGTAACGTAACAGGTGTATGGAGATAAGTACCATAACGTAACAGGTGTATCGAGATAAGTACCGTAACGTAACAGGTGTATGGAGATAAGTACCGTAACGTGACAAGTGTATCGAGATAAGTACCGTAACGTAACAAGTGTATCGAGATAAGTACCGTAACGTAACAGGTGTATGGAGATAAGTACCGCAACGTAACAGGTGTATGGAGATAAGTACCGTAACGTAACAGGTGTATCGAGATAAGTACCGTAACGTAACAGGTGTATGGAGATAAGTACCGTAACGTGACAAGTGTATCGGAGATAAGTACCGCGAACGTAACAAGTGTATGGAGATAAGTACCGTAACGGACAAGCGTAACAGGGTGTATGAGATAAGTGAACCGTAGCGTAGACAAGTGTATCGCAAGATAAGTATCGAGATAAGTACCGTAACGTGACAAGTGTATGGAGATAAGTACCGTAATGTGACAAGTGTATCGAGATAAGTACCGCGAACGCAACAGGTGTATGGAGATAAGTACCGTAACGTAACAAGTGTATGGAGATAAGTACCGCAACGTGACAAGTGTATCGAGATAAGTACCGTAACGTGACAAGTGTATGGAGAAAAGTACCGTAATGTGACAAGTGTATGGAGATAAGTACCGTAACGTAACAGGTGTATGGAGATAAGTACCGTAACGTGACAAGTGTATCGAGATAAGTACCGTAATGTGACAAGTGTATGGAGATAAGTACCGTAACGTGACAAGTGTATGGAGATAAGTACTGTAATGTGACAAGTGTATCGAGATAAGTACCGTAACATGATAAGTGTATCAAGAAAAGTACCGTAGCATGACAAGTGTATCGAGATAAGTACTGTAATGTGACAAGTGTATCGAGATAAGTACCGTAACATGATAAGTGTATCAAGAAAAGTACCGTAGCATGACAAGTGTATCGAGATAAGTACTGTAATGTGACAAGTGTATCG